GTGGGTAAGGTGGCTAGATTACAAGCCTTTTCCCGTAGCACAACGAGTCACCCCACACAGAATCTTGTGTTGTACTCTCAAAACTTTAGTGTTTCTGTGTGAAATGGCCCATAAAACACTGCTACTGATGCTAGTGGAGTAAAATGTAAAAGGCAGAAGTCAGTGACCCTGACAAAGAAAGTTGAATTATTAAAAAGGTTTGGTATAGGTATACAGTAGTGCACTAAGGTAGTATAAGTTGGTATTTGTGGTCCTGCCTATTCACGCCATTCCTTGGAACCTAACCCCCATGAATAACAAGGGTTTACTGTATACATATGAATACAGCACAGCAAAGTAGTTAATATTTGTGTTGAATAGTTTCACCTCATATAATACTAAATCTCTTAACTATTGTACAGTACAGTACAGAAAGATGGTTAGAAGTGTCTCCTCAGAACATGAATATTAGGTAAATTAAAGCCCTTTCACTTAACTTAGGTTGTCAGATGACACAAGCAGGTCAGATTTAGGCAGCAGTTTAAGTGAAAAATTTATAAGGCTGGAAGAAGATGATAAAAGAACAAGCAAATACAAGCTAAGATATAAAGTCAACTACATACTAAAATTTGACTCGCCTCTCCTCCTGAACCAAGAACCCCAAGATTCAGACTCATGAACCCAAAGCAGTAGACTGATACATTAATCTAGCCATAAATGCTTCGGATTCATGAGTCTGAACCTTGGAGTTCTTGGCTCAGGGGGAGAGGCGAGCAAACTTTAGTAGTTGTGTACAGTAGACACTAGATATAACAAGCGAGGAGCCGAGAGTCTATTGTAACAATTGGCAGAACGACAATATTTGATTGGCCAATCTACTACCTAACAATAAATGACTCATAATCTTAACAAGTGTGATGCATGGAAAATTAAAATGTGAGACAGAAACAAATGTATGTGTTGTTTCATTCACGAATAGTAATAATGTGGATGTTTGTTTTGAGTAAATCAACCAATTACACTCAGTGGCTGTGTGGTGAAGATGATTAGTGTCATGGCATACTGATAATGTCATAACACAATGATGATGTCTTTTGTAAGTCTGGATGTTTAATCCCACAATATGTACAGAAGGTTAAGTTTATATAATTTAACCCCACATTATGTACACTCGATAAAAAAGTATCTTTTAGGAGGGATCCGATGAATTTGGAAATGAACAATCCTGTTGTCTCGCTAGGGTTGGTAGGCATGATTGTGAGACATTTCCTGCCTATTAGGGTAGGCCTAATTTAGTTCATTCAAAATTTAAAAATAGTTCATTTTAATTTCATTGTGAATTACAGTATGCCTCATAGGCCCATATCAAAAACATTAATTCGTGGTATAATTTTTTCACACAAGAATTATGAAGGAAATTTTTTCACCAGATGTACACAAGGTTAAGTTTATATAACACCACATTATGCTGTAGCTTAAAGTTCTAAAAATTTTACTAATATAAACATACAGACCTAAGAAATCAAGAGATCACCAAATATTCCCACGAGAAACATGAACAACCCATACACTAACAACGGATATAAACATTACAATGACCCACACACTAACAACGGATATAAACATTACAATGACCCATACACTAACAACGGATATAAACATTACAATGACCCATACACTAACAACGGATATAAACATTACAATGACCCATACACTAACAACGGATATAAACATTACAATGACCCATACACTAACAACGGATATAAACATTGCAATGACCCATACACTAACAACGGATATATCATTACAATGACCCATACACTAACAACCGATATAAACATTACAATGACCCATACACTAACAACGGATATAAACATTACAATGACACATACACTAACAACAGATATAAACATTACAATGACACATACACTAACAACGGATATAAACATTACAATGACCCATACACTAACAACCGATATAAACATTACAATGACCCATACACTAACAACGGATATAACATTACAATGACCCATACACTAACAACAATGACCCATACACTAACAACGGATATAAACATTACAATGACCCATACACTAACAACGGATATATCATTACAATGACCCATACACTAACAACCGATATAAACATTACAATGACCCATACACTAACAACGGATATAAACATTACAATGACACATACACTAACAACAGATATAAACATTACAATGACACATACACTAACAACGGATATAAACATTACAATGACCCATACACTAACAACCGATATAAACATTACGACACACACTAACAATGGACATAAACATCACAATGACCCATAAAAACAATGGGTATACACATCCCACTCAGTAAAATTTAATGAATATTTTACCCGAGACTTGAATGACGATTAAAGTCTTAACAGATTGGTCTTCGTATGAGGCGGTACAAGCATATGTGCCATCGTGTTTCGTCATTGATGGCCGCTCAATCACATATCCCAAAGTTCTGTTGTACGTCACCCTCTAAGGTTCAAGGAAAAACATAAAAGGGTCAACAGTGGCAAGGAGGAGTTCAGTGGTGGCAGGGAGGAGGTCAGTGGTGGCAGGGAGGTGGTCAGTGGTGGGAGGGAGGAGGTCAGTGGTGGCAGGGAGGAGGTCAGTGGTGGCAGGGAGGAGGTCAGTGGTGGCAGGGAGGTGGTCAGTGGTGGCAGGGAGGAGGTCAGTGGTGGCAGGGAGGAGGTCAGTGGTGGCAGGGAGGAGGTCAGTGGGGCAGGAGGAGTTCAGTGGTGGCAGGGAGGTGGTCAGTGGTGGGAGGGAGGAGGTCAGTGGTGGCAGGGAGGAGGTCAGTGGTGGCAGGGAGGAGGTCAGTGGTGGCAGGGAGGAGGTCAGTGGTGGTAGGAAGGAGGTCAGTGGTGGCAAGGTCACACTTAAGTTATTAATCTCCTTACAAAGAACAAAAACAGTCTTAGCAATTATTTACTTTGAGGTAATGTCGAGAGTGTTTCAACTGATACACAATTGTTAAGTAATTTTTTTTTGTCTCCAAGATACACTAAAGACTACCAATTGACTGAGAACATCAGAGATTCATTGATTGTTTTATGAAATTTGGGCTTCGAGAGAGAGGGCCACCAAACTGATGCTGGTACCCACAGGCATCAATTTACCAAGAGTTTAGAATAGCTCCAATTGCCTGGTTAATACAGTACTATAGAAGGGCAATAGTGGGATGATCTAATAGAAGCTTAAATATACTGTACTGTACACCTCAAAGGCGAACTGCAAAAGTATATATCTGAAGGTAGATGACGGTTGCTCCATTAGAGGTCACTGCCTCCAGTTAAAGAAGTCACAAGCACAAAAAATATTCAGAGCAAACTTCTCTGGAATAAGAAATGTGAGCTCTGGGAATAATCTGCTAAAGAGTGTTGGACGGCACCAAGTTTGAACTCGCTCAAGACACGACACGACCAACAATGGTGCACATTCATGAACCTATGCGTGTCTAGTACCTGCTGACAGTGTGAGTATGTCAACATAGAACAGACCGACCGCCTAACTGGCTAGTAAGCTGACAAGTGGTGAAGAACATAAAGTACCAGTAAGCTGAGAGAGAGAAACACTCCAAGGTGGATGTGTGAAGGAAATTCTTGCAATGAATGTTTCGAGACTCAACAGAGCCAGACTTTATCAAACCGCTGTTTCCTTTGTTCCTTATTAAATATTCAGACACTGAGGATGGTGGCAGCAGTGCGCTAAATTTAATAAGGTAGGGAGTATGAAAAAGCAGGGGCTGTCCATCCTTTATTCTTATCCCTGAAGATTGTAACACCAGCCCCCCACCACTCCTCCCTCCCTCCCCTGGAATCCTGCTGGAAGTAAGGAGCTTGGACTGGACTGTACATTACCTACTGAGAGAGACTACCCCACCCCCCCCCCTTCCCTCAGCTTATGGTAGCACCTGATCCTCCTACACACATATATACATAAATAATACATAATTGCTTATTTTCAATATCGTCCAAGTTTGTGAGGGATGCTCACCTCAACATCTCTCCCATACTTTTAATTTGTAGAAAAATTAACTAAAATAAATGCATTAGTTCATCACAAAGTTAATACTGTCTTTTACTTTCTTCCTGGTTTCATAATACAGGGTACAGTACTGTAATGTAGTTGAAATGTGATGAATGACTATTATCCAATTAATGTGTACTTTAATTTTCTTAACAATTGTCTTTACAAAGCTCCTTGAGGAAGTTGCAAGTCCAAAACATCAGTAACTTTAATCCCTGGGCTATAGTTGGCATGCCCCCCTCCCTCGCAGGTATATTCGGGAACATTTAAAAAATAAATAAAAAACAAGTACAGTAATCTAGTGCTTTTTTAGTTTAAAAACAAAACAAAAATTTTTTGAGCCATTTTCGATATTCCCCGGTGCGGCGCGGCAAACAGACGCCACCCTTTCCCACCTCAGACACCCGCTGCTCCGAGAAGCCTCAGTCCACACGTGCCTACCGTACTGTGAACGCCACTGTGATTACCTCTTCTGTTTGTCCTCCCACGTGCATTCCACACGGCTACGGGATGTAAGCCAGCCTCATCAAAGGCAAATATTACTAGCAAAGACTTGAAGTGACCAAGAGATCAAGAATAGTGATGACCTTAACGGAAAAAACAGTTTTATTGGACAAGCTCAGAGGTGGTATGAGCTATGGCTCGAGATATGGTGAAGACTGACAATTCATTTGTGTCTTTTGTCAGAATTGAAGTCTTCAGGTGGATGAATGTGGGTGGAAGAGGACTGGCTGGCTGGCGTGACTGCGTGAGGGCGGGCAGAAGCCGGGACAACAGGGAGAGGCTGGCAATTCGGGTGTTGCCGACCTCAATGAAATATAAAATTGTTTACTGTATTTACTTGTAAATATTTTTTTTTTGTATATAATATTTATGTTTACATTTTTCCATTATTATACTACAATATGATTAGTTTCAAATAATGATGTTAGTAAATGCCGGTACAGTGCATTAGTGTGACCACTGGGCCGTGAGTGGAGAGCATGGCGTGGTTAAGTGAATGACCTGCCTGAGCTGTTTGGTGGTCACAGGTACAGTGATTCCTAAAAGAGTATTCGCGGTTTTGGCTTTTCGCAGGGGTTTCAGGAACGTAATTCCCACGAAAAACACGGGATTACTGGACTGGCCAATCAAGATATAAAATGGAAATAAATATATATCCATACCACAGGTTGGCAATATTAAAGGTATTCCTCCATATAAACTGAGTAGGCTGGCCAGGGAGCACAAGAGTAAATCTCTTAAAAAAATCGACAAAAACTCTTAAAAGTAAGCAATAGTAAAATACCGAGGCATCAACGAAAAAAAAGGTGGCCCAATTTTAAATGGTTATACAGTACCTGAAAAATTATTGCAGTTCTGATCCACATCTTTAAAATCTGCCTTGAGGTCTATATTGAAGTCATACACGTCAACCAAGATGTATCCAGACTGTGGGTCCTCATGTACTGTAGGAAAAATATATATTTCTTTTCCTCGGTCAGATTGAATCTGGAGCTTTGAATGATTTTATCTTCATGAATGGGGATGCCTTTGTTGTTATCTTCATTAGACATGGATTCTTCACTTTTGGATCCATTGTCTTCCTTACCAAGTGCCTCGGAGGGGGTCGTTCGCTCCCACCCATCTTCCTCCAGTCCAAATGAACACTCGTCCACAATTACCTCCATCAGGTTACTTTCTTCGTTCAGCACAAGTGTACTTTCATCACAATGCATTGGCTTAAGTATAGAGAGTGGTTGTATTTTGAGTGAGTAGTGGCAGTTATTTTGATGTAATTGGCTTTCAAGACTACCCAACACAACATTTGGTGTTTGACAGAAAACCCGGTTTAAATCCTCAAGCATGGACTGTTCCTTCACGTTGACTTTCGGGTCTTGAGCTTCAGTTGACCAGCAGAGGGTCAGGTTGAAGAAGAGAAGAGTGATTGCAAGGTACACACATAGATGGCTGGTGACCATGGTGTTGGTTTGAGGTGTTATAGTGGTCCGTGGTGTTATAGTGGTTTGTGGTGTTATAGTGGTTTGTGGAAATGTGATGTTAAAGTGGTTTGTGGCATTGTGGTGTTATAGTGGTGCATGGTGGTGTGGTGTTATAGTGGTTTATGATGGTGTTATGGTGTTAGTGGTTAATCAAAACACAAGACGATGACTCCGTTATGGAAGCTACGTAGGCATGATGAGATTTTCTGGTTTATGTTGGGAGTATAAATATCTTATGTGGTAAACGTGAGGCAGCACAACTGATACCGTAAACAAAGGTGGATGAAACTTTTTGGTTCAGACAGGACATGATTAACCATTATTAGATACCCGGTACTGTTATCTTATGTCTTTTCTTTTTCTTCTTTATCATGTTATTACTGCGCATTATCAACTGAGGTCTTTAGGTGTGTAACATGGTTAGTAATATACTGTACTATCACATAAACATTTAACCACTGGGCTTCGGGCTATGATCGGCACCCCTCTCCCCCCCCCAGCGAGTATATATTCAGGAACATTTAAAAAACAAATAAAAAGCAATCCTAGTCTTACAAACTGACCTTGCATGATATAAACAGGAAATAAATAAATGACCTTACCACAGGTTGGCAACACAGGGGGCTAAGAAGAATCGAGAATGTTGGTGAAGTGGCGTGTGTGATGCAGTAGTAACGAGGTAAACAACACTAATTTGTAGGCAGCATGAGGTGGTACAGGACACTTATTTTACTATGTTATTACTATTTACACTATTAACAATCATTATTACTGCTCCAGTAATTGATCACAATACTAGACTTGTGCTTGGGGGTTGAGGGGTAGAAACACATGGTGGAGTCCAAGGGTGAGATTCCTACATCACAAAAGCTGAGAAGAGACTGGGAGGCTTTCATGTGTTAGTGAGTAAAAGATAAATACCTACTTGGCAACATAATCTAGCCAGGCATACCCTTTTTATTCAAATAGGCCCGCCAAAGATCAAAATGTCATATGACGTGACCCGAAGCCTAAGGGTAAAAAAATTATGAGAGATATCACTCTGTGTAGCTGTCTACTTTGTTAAATTCTTCATATGCAGCTAAAAATTAATAAAAAATAAAGTATAATCAGATTCAGCACCACACATTGCCAATGATTCTTGAAAGCTGTATCACACTACTGTAGTTTTACCTCGAGCAGCTTTCATTTGGCAACTCGGTAATTATTACGCAAACACCGGCAAATGGTCGTGGCATGAAAAACAATTTTTTTTAATGTTTATAAAGCTAGATACAATGTTGGTAATGAATATTTGGAGGAATATATAATTCTTAGTAGCTACTTAGCTGAGAATTCCAAGGTGGTCAGACTGGAGGTTAAATAGCCAGGAAGTTAATTTAATTTAGAAAAGTTGTAAACTGTTTCCTAATACTATATAAATTGTTAGGTTTGGCTCCCTAACTTTACACGAGTATAGTATAG